GCTATGCACTGCTACTTTGTTGCTGAACCTAGATTAGTTGGACCGCATACTCCTGAGGAGGAGCGTGCATTCCAAGACACTGATACTACATTCAAGGGGCAATAATCAACATGCTAGGAGACTCCATAGTAGATGCATATATGACTCTGCAAACTGGTAAAGAGATGTGGGATGCACTTGAGGCCAAATATAGAGTGTCTAATGCTGGTAGCGAGTTGTATGTCATGAAGTAGTTTTCATAACTACAGGATGGTTGATGACCGTTCTGTGGTTGAACAAGCTCATGAGATACAAACACTGGCAAAATAACTCAAGATGGTATGGTGTTGCCGGCTAAGTTTGTTGTGGGCTGCATTATTGCTAAGCTGTCACAGGCTTGGACAGCCTTTGCTACTTCTTTGAAACATAAGAGACAAGAGTTTGGTATTGCCGACCTCATTGGCTCTTTGGATATTGAAGACAAGGCGAGAGCTAAGGATGTATGCGGCAAGAAAATTGTTGACGTAAGTTCTAGTGCCCATGTGGTGTAGAAAAATCCTCAAAATTCCCACAAGAAGAAATTCAAGCAAGAGCTCAAACAAAAGACCACTACACCTTTTAAGAAGAAGAAGAAGAAGAAGAACAAGGAAAAGGAAAATTGCTTCACTTGTGGCAAGCTCGGGCATTATGCTAGGGATTGCAAGGAGAGCAAGTGGAAGCCTAAAAAAATCTACAAACATGATTGAGGCTGATGGAGGAACATCGGGGTATAGTAATTTATTACCTACAGTTCTTTCAGTTTGTCATTCGTGGGTTGACACAGGAGCTAATATCCATATGTGTGCTGATATTTCTTTGTTTTCTTCTTATCATGTCGGGAGAAGTTCCTCCTTGTTGATGGGGAATGGAGCGCGTGCAGGTGTTCGTGGTGTTGGTATGGTCGATCCAAGCTTACTTTGAGGAAGACCGTGCAACTGAAGAACGTGCAGCATGTCCCCTTAATAAGGAAGAATTTAATTAGTGGTTCGTTGCTGTGTCGAGATGGCCATAAACTTGTGTTTGAAACTAATAAGTGCATATACTTTTTAAGTATGGAACCTTTATGGGTAAAGGCTACGAGAGCAGAGGCTTGTTCTCCTTGTCCTTAACTGATGCATGTGTTAAGTCCGTGAACAATGTGAGCTGTGATGTTGAATCTAATGTTTAGCATTCACATCTTTGTCATATAAATTTTGGTTGCATGACTCGCTTAGCTGGTTTGAATTTAATTTCGAAATTTGATTTGGTCAAAGGTTCTAAATGCCATGTATACGTGCAATCAAAGCAACCTCGCAAACCTCACATGGCTGCTGAGGCGAGGGATTTGGCACCATTAGAACTAATCTATTCCAATTTGTGTGAAATGAATGGTGAGGTGACCAAAGGTGGCAAAAGATATTTCCTGACGTTTATAGATGATTGCACTAGATTTTGCTATGTGTATCTGTTAAAATCAAAGGATGAAGCATTGAATTATTTTAAGATCTATAAAGCTAAGGTAGAAAACTAACTTGAGAAGAAAATTAAACGTTTGTGGTCTGATCACGGGGGAGAATATTTCTCAAATGAGTTTTCTGAGTTTTGCGCGGAGCATGGTATTATTCATGAGAGGACACCGCCATACTCAGCACAATTTAATGGGATTGCCGAGAGAAAGAACCGCACTCTAACTTAGTTGGTTAACACTATGTTAGAGACTGTAGGACTATCTAAGGAATGGTGGGTTGATGCAATATTGACAGCATGTCATGTCCTGAATAGAGTGCCCACAAAGAATAAAGAAATTACACCATTCGAGGAATGGGAGAAGAAGAGATTAAATCGTTCTTACCTACAAACATGAGGTTCTCCTCGCTAAGGTGAATGTGCCAATTAACAAGAAGCTTAAAGCTTAGACCAAAAATCGTTGATTGTGTCTTTCTCGGTTATGCTATTCACAGTGTGGGTTATAGATTTTTAATAATAAATTCTGGAGTGCCTGATGTGAATGTTGGTACTGTCATGGAATCTAGAGATACTATATTTTTTAGAGTGAATTTCCTATAAAATACACCCTAGCACTTCTAGTCATGATTCTGTAATACTTCCACGCAGCTTGCATGAACCGATAGAACATGCTTGATGTTGAAACCCATGTGAAAAATCATGAGGAGGATAATAATATAGTCACTCAAAAGAGTAAGAGACGGAGGACTACAAAGTTCTTTGGTGAAGACTATATTATATACCACGTGGATGACACTCCTACAACCATAGAAGAGGCATATTCATCTCTTGACGTTGACTTATGGAAGGAAGCTGTTCAGAGTGAGATGGACTCTATTATGTCTAATGGAACTTGAGAGATTGTTGATAGTCCTTATGGGTGCAAACCTATGGGATGTAAATGAATATTCAAGAAAAAGCTTAGGCCTAATGGTACCATTGAGAAGCACAAGGCGAGGCTTGTGGCTAAGGGTTATGCCCAAAAAGAAGGCGAATATTATTTCGATACTTATTCACCAGTTGCACGTCTAACGACTATACGAGTGTTACTTTTCTTGGCTGCCTCACATGGTCTTCTCGCTCATTAGATGGACGTTAAGATGCTTTCTTGAATGGAGAGCTTGAGGAAGAGATCTATATGGATATGCCGATGGATGGATCAGTAGCAAATGGTCAAGAGGGAAAAGTGTAAAATTATTGAAATCTTTGTATGGCCTAAAGCAAGCACCTAAGCGGGTACGAGAAGTTCGACAGAACTTTGACATCACCGCTTCTTTGTGAAACGGTTTCGATAAATGTGTTTATTATCGGTATGGTGGAGGAGATGGTGTGATCTTGTGCTTATATGTGGATGATATACTAAATTTTGAAAATAATATTAATATGATTAATGAAGTGAAAGAATTTTTATCAAGTAACTTTGAAATGAAAAATTTGGGAGAAGCTGATGTTATTCTTAACATAAAGCCACTCAGAGAAGAAAATTGTGGGGTAACTCTTTTGCAATCCCACTATGTGGAAAATGTGCTGAGTCGCTTTGGGTACAGCGACTGCACACCTATTTCAACTCCTTATGACCCAAGTATGCTGTTGAGGAAAAATCGTAAAATAGCACGGGATCAATTGAGATATTCTCAAATTATTGGCTCACTTATGTATTTAGCTAGTGCAACGAGGCCTGACATCTCGTTTGCTGTGAGCAAACTTAGCCAGTTTATTTCAAACCCTGGAGATGATCATTGGCGTGCTTTTGAGAGGGTATTGCGCTATCTAAAAGGGACTGTGAGCTATGGCATTCACTGTACCAGGTATCCAGGGGTACTAGAGGGTTATTGTGATGCAAATTGGATATCTGACGCTGATGAGATTTATGCCACAAGTGGATATGTGTTCTCACTTGGAGGTGGTGCTGTTTCATGGAAGTCTTGCAAGCAGACCGTCTTAACGAGGTCAACAATGAAAGCAGAACTCACAGCATTAGATACCGTCACTATTGAGACCGAGTGGCTTCATGAACTCCTTATGGATTTACCGGTGGTTGAAAAACCTATACCGGCTATTTCTATGAACTGTGATAATCAAACAGTGATAATCAAAGTAAACAATTCTAGGGATAATATGAAGTCTAGAATGCATATGAAGAGGCGGTTAAAATCTGTCAGAACTCTGCTTGTGACACAGGTCTACAGAAGACTTCCAAAGATCCAGATGTCTTCCCGAAGTAGACAGTGCTTAACTGCTTACAGAAACTGCCTACTACTAGCAGTCAGTGTGCAGGTAATTTCATAACACCACCTGATTGTACACAATTATGCTTTGAACTATCCACATGTATGCTACTACTATTGGTTAAAATTCCACAAATATGAAACTAAAAAAAAAATGAAGCAGAAATTGTCTGCCCATAGCAAAGCTTGGACTATTCAATGTATGTTTCTGCATCAAAATTGAAGATCTGTCTGTGGAAACTCATACATTTATAATAACGAAGGGAGGAAACTACAGGCAAACAATCTCAAATCTCCGTCAGTTGGCTGGAAAACAGATTTTATCTACAAGAAAACACTGTGATCCCTGGTTTAATATTGCCTTACATACAATTAGTACAATTGGATAAGAATGAGTTACACAATGGTGACTCTTTAACCTAATCATCGGAAGTTTACGTTACATGTAAAACTCACTCCAAATTGTCAGGGAGAAATCAACAGAGTGGAAGTATGCCTGAACTCTGCACACTACTAGGAGTGTAGTACTTTATAAACATAAGCAGTTAAGAGTGAAGCATAGGCTTTACCAATATATGTTGACAGGACAGGCAGCTGCAGAAGAATATATCTAGGAGTGTTTTTCTTCAGCAGGTTCTATTACATTAAATTGTCTCCCACTTTGACAAATCAATTGTTCTAGTTGACTGATACTAAAACATAAACAGTGAAACCCATATAGACCCTCAATTATGGAAAATAATAAGTCCCATGAAATTTGAACAAGCTGTGCCATACACATACACTATAGACTAAACTGACAGCAAAATAATACCTTTAGATAGACAACATGAGTAAATAGCTCAAAAGAGCCTCCTTTCCTTTCATTTTCTGCTTGAATGAGAATAGCACAACACTGCACACCCACTTTGCAATCCCCCAGTTGAGCAACAACTACCTCATATGTTTCCCACCTAACAGGCTAACAGCAGCCTATTACATGATACCAAAAGTGGAACAATTGTACTCTTTTCACTTATTTTAAGTTACACACTATCTGAACAAACAATAGAATCAACCTACAGCCTGTTCGTTTGTTCGTAAACGATCGTAAATTTCCAGCCGGGAACAGTGTTTTTCTCTCACACCAAATCAGCCAGCAGTAAATAATCCGTGGCATCTATTGGGCACGCTCATGTCTCATGTCAGATCCCCTGATGAACTACAAACAATCAGGATAAGGTACATTCATACCTCAGATTTCAACCCATCCATTTCATCCAGCCAATTTCAACCCCGTGCCGGCTTCTGCAACACCGCAGAGAAGTACATTGCTGCCTTTGCACCCCCTGTCCCGGCCTTCTCTCCCATTACCCATTTGAGCTTCTTGTAACCAAACCTGCTAATGAGCCTGACAAGCACCTGCCTCCGTTCATCGCTGTGGCACATGTAGCTGTCAATCCAGAGGAGCCCACCGGCGCGCAGCACCCGGTCGACATCAAACATGAAGAATTCCAGCGCCTCCTCCGTCCCGGCCTGTCCCAACGCCGGCGACCCGCCTTCGGCCAATGCGGTGGTGCCGACGTGCACGAGGTCGAACACCCCGTCGTAGAAGGGGAACCGGTGCGCGGGCGAGAGCAGCAGCGGGAACAGTCCCCTGGCCGCCACGAACTCGTTCATGGGCTTCCCGGCGTTGTCGAGCACCGTGGTGAAGACGGTGACCCCGCGCTCCCTCATCCGGGCGGCGAAGTTGGCGGCGCCGCCGGCGACGTCGAAGCCGATCCGGATCTTGCCGGCGCCGGCGGCGAGGCGCAGGACGTCGTCGATGAGGAACTCGTGGTCGTGGCGCGGCTTCACCCAGCGGTGGCTGTCGACGCCCATGTTGGAGGACGGGAGCGCGGCGCGCGGGCCACGGGAGAGGCAGCGGCGGCGGGGCAGCGGCTCGCAGGCCTTGGAGATGAGGCGGTGCGGGAGCGTGGCGTTGCGCGGGCAGGCGGCGTAGGGCGCGTAGGTGGCGAACGCGGCGAGGAGCGCGAGCGTGGACGGGGAGCTGAAGCAGGCGTGCGCGACAAAGGCCGGCATGTGGGTGAGCCCGAGGCGCGCGTCGCGGCCCAGCCGCAGCGCGTGCAGGGACAGGAAGAGGAGCAGCTCCAGGGGCAGGGTGGTGCCGCCGCCGTCGCCCGCCGCCCGGTGCGGGACGAGGCGGGTCGCGTCGATCTCCCGCGCGATGGCGGCCACCTGCGCGGAGATGGCGGACGAGGAGGAGGTGGTGGAGAGGTTTGCGGTGGCGGCGGGGACGGGGTGCGCGCGGGGGGAGAGGAAGGCGAGGAGCGCGAGGAGGTTGGTGGAGAGGATGGAGAGCAGCACGAGGAGGTTGAGCAGCGCGGGCGAGCAGAGGCACGCCAGGCGCCGCCCGCCGCGCCGGGACGACGCCACGTTCAGGGACACCGACCCCATCGCGCGGCGGCGGCGCCACTGCCCGCGCGCGCAGGGGACACCTTGGAAGGATTTTGCCGGCGCGGCTGGCGGGTGGGATCTCGCCCTCGGGGCGAGGGGTTTGGGTTCGCCGCGCTCGACTGTGCGTGCGTCCGCGTTGGCTTGCTTCGTTCTAGCTCGGGAGCTCGGGACGGGACGGGGAAAGGGAGTGGGGCTGGGGGGGTGTGCGAGCTGGCGAAAGCGACAGTGAAGGAGGTGTGCGTGATTGGTTGTCGGCTGCCCGTAACCCCGTGCCCAACATCCGGATTAGCAGAACGGTTTTAGTTTAATCAGCCGTTTCGTACGGCCGTACGTTCTGTAAAACAAGACTAAACTTAGGATTCTTGAGTCAGATCACTGTAAAGATTCTATATTCCCATAAGGCTTGTTCATTTTTCCCCCTTCCTGTAGTTTCTATGTAACCATCAATTTATACAAACACAAGACTCAGGATTCCTCAGAAAATTGAGATCACTCTACAGATTCTATTCGCATAAGTTCACAATGAAGATTGAGAAACATTTCAAAGTGTCAAACTGTTGCTAGGAGGATTGTGCTTGTAGCTAGCCTTGTATTATTTGATGATATCATGGTACACACTAAGGGTATGTGTAATTCACAGACGAATTTTTGTCTGCAAATTTTTATCTATTTAATTCTTAACCTATTTAATACATACAAGCATACATGATCAAGTATGTATAAGATCTTGGTGTATCATTTTGTTGCTTCTTTGATACAAATGGTATCAAGCATAAATAAATAAGATGAATATAAATATATTATTATGTTCTTTAGTGCACATATGACAGATAATAGAGTAGGAATAAAAAAAATCATATGCCACTCTACATCCCATGCTTCATATTGATTTCACCATACAAAATATACATCTAGCATCCTAAAATATCCCACATTAGGCTAGATGACAACAAATGAAAGAGGAATACGTACAATAAAGCATGGAAGCTTTTATTCGGTTGCTAGTATTGCAGCTAAAATTGATCAAGCCCAGCTAGCACTGTACAATGGTTGTTTTTTGTTGCAAAAATGTTGCAGCGAACAAGCCCAGCTATATACAAGTGAACACTAGTTTTAGTAACTGAAACTGATCAACTACAGTAACTAAAATTGATCAACTACAGCTTGACAATACAGAAAAAATGAATTCAAGAAAAGAAAATTGGACAATGTGTTATATGCTTTCTCAATAAATTTACTATAAAAAGCTTGGCCTCATCGCTACTTTATACATGAACCAAAATAAACATTACCTTGGTGTTTGGATATGGTGGAGACTTTGGTCATCCGACCGCAGATCTGTAGGTACGAACAAATCACAATTTCTATGCACGTAGAAGAAGCTAGAAAGTACTGTAGCAATCAGTGGTGGTGACTGGCGAGCAAGAGGTTTGAAATCGAGTTGTCTAGGTACCTGAATCGAAGGATAGAAGTTGGTTAGACTGTCTCTGACATCCGTTATCCAAAATACAAGATCTATTCCATATTTAGGTAGTGCTACAAGCAAATGGTTCAATACTTATGTTTAGCATGGGTTTATGTGTTTTTAGGTGTTTTTCAAGGATGCGTTTAGTTCGATGACAAAGTTGGATGGGATATGTCAATCCATGTATATTGAGATAAAGGTATCCATGATGCATGTTTGATTGGATGGATATGATGAGCCATTCTTTTGTTTAGTTGGATGGATGAAAGTGGATGGGATTAGAGTAGTTGTCTAATTATATCTATTATTTAATTATAATAACAACTAATTAGACACTAATAAATATGAGCTAATACTAATTTTGCCATGAAAATCACTAATTTAAAATAAATATGTTAATTAGCACAACTAATAACCTAATTAGCACAAAAACATGTACGAATCAACGTATTAGCACTTATCAAAACTAATCCTACCATCATAATTACTAAGTAATAATATAACATACTAATCATCCTTAATTTATTTATTAATGACAAAGATTAGAAAACATAGATAAACTGGTTCGTGAGATTTTTACGAACCAGAAAATTCAGCATCTGGGGGTATATTCCCTATCCATTGTTTTACTGGTCTCATTCATTCAACCAAACGCTAGTGATTGGATGGTCCAATCCCATCCATACAAATCCAACCAACAAAACATATTCCAAGTGTTTCAGACACATATTTTAAACGTTTTATTTGTTTCAGACGTATATTGTAACTGTTGCATCTGAATGTTTTCAAAACTCGATCGAATGTTGCATCTCCCTCCTCGCCTTTTCTGCTATCTCGCCTCGGTGTCAGGCGCGGGAAGGCGGAGGCGGTCCCCACTGGCGCGGGCAGGCCCCACGTGCTTGCGGGCGGACGCAGCAGGCAAGACGTGGGCAGACAGGTGCAAGACGTGAGACAGGGCAGCGACACGGGTGTCCGGACAGGGGGCTAGCGTCCGAACGTCCGGGCGCTAGCCACGCCCTACGACATAAGTTTTTTTAAGGGGTAAAAGGACTTTACCTCGCCAAAATAAGAAAGGCCTAATGAAGGGTACCCATCTCATTTCGGCCATCGGCCCACGTCAGAGTAACCAAACCTACCTATGGTCACAGTTCACCACCCATCGAAGCCGAAGCCGAAGCCGAAGCCCGAAGCCCATGCCATACCCAGGCCCAATCCAGTACCCGCCCACCGCCTCACCGGCGAGCCAAACCCTGAGCCCGCCGCCCGTAGGACGCGACGCCACGCAGCGCGGTACGGCAGCAGCCATGGAGCCCGCGGCGATGGACCGCATCGCCACCCGCCTCTCCGCCGTCGAGGGCCTCTACTTCCCGTCCTCCTTTCTCGGCACGTCCCCCACCGGCACAGGCACCGGGGCCGCACCCCCTCCCCCTTCCCCTCCCTCCCCGCCGCGGCGCAGGGCGGAGCTCCGCTCCCTCCTCGGCCGCGACGCGCCGCTCTTCCTGGAGCGGTACGGCGCGGCGCTGTCCGCCGACGAGCTCGCCGCCTTCGACGCGCTCAGCCCGGACTACGAGGTCGACTGGCACCTCCGCCGCCTGCGCGCCGCCGCCGCGGGGCTCCCCGCCCGCGTCGCGGGGTGCGGAACCGGCGCCGCGCGTTCCTCGACCGCCTCGTCCGCGAGGGGAGTACTTCTCCGAGGACGCCATGCGGGAGCGGGAGCCCTACCTGCACCACGAGTACCTCGGGAGGTTCCAGGACCCGCTCGGCAGGGCCATGGCGCGGCCCGGGGAGAGGTGGTCCGAGACGCTCATGCGCCGCGCGGAGGAGGCGGTCATCGTGGAGAAGATCCGCGGGGAGCAGATTAGGAGAGGGGTCGATCCCAGCGAGTGGGTGGGTGGTGGCGCTGAGGAGACCATGGAGGAGCAGGAAGAAGAGGAGGAGGAAGAGGAAGAGGAAGAAGAGGACGAGGAAGACGGGATGAAGGAAAAGGGGAAAGAGGTCGAGAAGCCCATTGCGACTGAGGTTTGTTTCTGACGATTATTGTCTACATTTGCTGGTTTTATTTTGCTTTCAGTATTCGTGCTGTAAATTGTTTGTAGTTGATTCAGTGACTCACATGCTTGTGTACATTAATTAGAAGTAGAATAATATTAAAGGATGCACAACTGTTTACTGCTAATTTTCTTCGAGGAGCTAGTGCTCATCTCGAAGACAGACAATCTATCAACCAACCATCTTGTCTAACTTCACAATAATGATGTGTAGATTCAGACAATAGTTTTTGTTTGCAATTTTGGACTAGTGGAGTACTCAGATTTGAAAAAAATAGCTAATCTAGAGATGCTCCTATGCACCACACCGAGGTGCAAGTTATGGATGATTTTTTTAAAATATTTCACTATTATGGTTAGATCAATGGCTTTAACTTTTCACCGTCAGTTATACTCCCTCCATTTCAAATTGTAAGTCGTTTTGGCTTTTTCTAGGTACATGAATTTTGCTACGCACCTACATATATGTTATGTATAGATATGTAGTAGAAGTGATGTATCTATAAAAGCCTGAACTGACTTACAATTTGGAATGAAGGGAGTATGTGGTAACAATGATTTATTGTTCCAGTGAATGATGGTGACGTATTGTTTATAGAGGCAGGTTGCTCTGATTTTTTTGAAATAGAAGCCAGCATGTACCTGAGAGCTGGTTATACTACTAGATGTCTGTCATGTGTTAGAGAAGGAAGTGAATAACCTAGCAGTATTTTTTTTGAACCTGGGTATGAAAAATATGAAATTTCTACACTACAAGTTGTTCTGCTCTTGTTCTACATGGAAAAAGTGTTTGTAAGAAACTTACATATCCAATTTTTGTGCTGGAAGATAATTCACACATTCTTTCTTTAGCCTCTCGTTTTGTGATCCAAACGCCCACCTCTCAATTCTTTTTTCCCTGAACTCTGCGGTAACTATAATTTTGTGCAATGGTGTTGTCTCTCTGGCTTGAAGGAAATGTATAAGATGGTTTAATCTAAAACAATTTCCTGAGGGCACGGGTTCAGATCCACTTTCATGCCTAGTATGTACGCTCACCTAACATGAAATGGTACACGTTAAGAAACTGTTCTGGTGATGTAGAGACTGGTCGATGTAGTTCACAATTAAAACCACATATTTGATGTGGCTCCATTTTAGTGTTGGGCCTCTATAATGTCTCGCTTGCACCATTTATTATTTCACCTACATGGGAGTCAGGAGTGCCTCAGAATTTTTGGTTGAAATTCATCACACTGTGATTCGTCCTTCCTTTTGATGCACTGTCCTCGCAGGAGATGAGTTTCTTGCTTTACATAATGGCAGGTGGTTGCAAATGAGGCTGCACCAATGGAGTCCAACAATGGGGGAGGCTCTGCTGCAACGACTTCCAACCAGACGTTATCTTTTGAAGAAATGCAGGATCAGCTGGAGCAGTTCACATATGTCATGCAACAAAAGTTCCTGTCCGGTGAAGACACTGAGCATATGGACTATTCTCAGATCGATAATGATGAGATGCTTGATGATCATTGGTCCAGAGAAGCCAACTATGATGCAGAGGAAAAGTATTTCGAAGAAGATTAGTTAGTAATAGGCTGCTGTTTTGGTACCTGAGAAGCAATGAATCAGCTTATTTGCTTATGTGATGGTTATGTTCAGAACCTGTAGAGTTAGCATTGTATTATTGTATATAAAATCATCTTTTCATCTGAGATAGAGTACTGTTGATATGCAATCGTTGCATCTTGTATCCCATGGTGTTATTGGCAATCGGACAAATTGTTTCGTGCTTCTACGGGTCAGTCTTCCCTTTTAATTTCCTTATTGATCGAAATAACTCATGCGTAGTTGTTCGTAGTCCAGATACTGAGATACGTGACTAAGTAAGCATTTGATTGATTATCCTTTCCTTTTGCCGAATTCTTCTTTCTTATGGCATATTTGGATCTCATGAATTAAAACTAATATCTAGAAAGTGTTTTCCATTCTATTATTATATTACTTTCCAAATTCTCTTAATTCTTGAGAACCATGATTGAATTGTTATAACTATGGATTCGAATGGTATTGAATGGGACCTTATTACAGGATGTTCGATGCGACAATTCTGGCATATTGATATTCCCGACCCGTGCGTATCAACTTACCCGTGCGTATCAACTTGCATCAGTCTGAGCCGATGCATGATGTTGGCTGGATCACTATCATGCGTTGGGTTTAAAAACAGACCCACGGATTACAGATAAGATATAAAGGGCCTGTTTATTTGTCTGTACAAGGCTGGACCAGGCTCAGGGGATATATTTTTCAGTTCTTTGGTTGTCTAGATAGATAAAGGGTCAATCCGTGGGATGCAAAAGAGCTCCCACAGCCTGGTTCCAGGGAAACAAGTTTTATTTTCGTTTTCCACGGGCCTGGCTCGCTGGATGCAACTTGGCTAGCAGCTAACAATATGATTAATACATAATTAGTGTATATTAAGTTATATTAGTGCATGTAAGAGCTAATTAAAGCATAACAAGGAAATTTGAGACTGGTAAAACATACTTTATCTAGTACGACGTATTTCTCATACTCATACGGCTACGGCCAACCAAACACCGTATCTATTCAACCAGGATGGCCAAATATGAACAACCAAACAAGCCTAAAGTGGACAATGACTTTTTAGGTGAGAGATATTTATCAATTCTTTTGCTTTTTTAAATATAGAATAAATAGATAGATATAGAAACACACCCTGGCGATAAGATATAAAGTTTACAGTGACCTTTTAAATGAGATGAGAGATATTTATCAAATTTTTCACTTTGTAATATACAGAATAGATAGATATATGTCAACTATTAGGCCCTGTTTGGCAGAGCTCTCAGAGCTGATTCTCTGTTGAATGTAGCTAGAGCTCTGCCAAACAGTTTTTCAGAGAGAAGTGATCCTCTGCTGATTCTGTGAAGTGATTCTATGAAACGAACTAAGAGGCTGTGAGCTGAAAAAAAGTAGCTTCTCCTGATTCTGTGAAGTGATTCTCCATCATGATTTATGTTAAAGAATCAAAGAGAATCACTTTCAGCCACAGAATCACTTCTCTCGTAGAATCAGCTTTCATAGAGAATCAGAATCAGATGGAGCTCTACCAAACAGGCCCTTAAGTGGTGCACATGTAATGTAATATAGTACTCCTGCCATTCAAATATTTTAAGTTATTATGACTTTTTAAAATATACATAATTTTTATTATATATTTAGACATAACTTATATAGCTATAAAAATTAGAACAGATCATAACTTGGAACTAAATAGACCGAACTGCCAAGAATGATAAGCATCTCTGTCATCGTGCATGTCGTAATGGTCGTTGAATTTCGAGTGTAGCACGAGCAGGCCTACCACGCTGGCCGGTGCCCGATCAGGCGGTCACCTTTAACCACACACACGCGCACGGACACCCAAAAAAAAACGCTCTGCTTTTGGCCTTAGCCGTACCTTTTTTTAACAAAATAATAGTGTTTTTCTCAAAAAAAAAAAAAATCAACATCAACTATTTTTTACAGACCGAGTACCTTTATCCCGCGGGGGCGAATCTCAATTCGCAAGACCGCCACAACAGCGGAATACCACAAATCACGTCAACGGCGTGCTGGTTGTCCACCGACCACCGCGTCAGCGCGTCGGTCTCATGGTGTCACCAGATGACCAGAGCAGCTAGGGACGCAGGATGCAGACGCGATCGTCTTGGCGGACTAAACAATTACAATTTACTAGCAATATATCCGGTTTTACTATCTTATTTGATCTTCATCAAAATTCTAACAATCAGAAGTTCCAAAAAAATTCTAACAATCAGCTAATGAAGGAGCTAACCATTGGTAACGATGCCGCTAAGCGTACATGTAGTCATCACAAGAATCAGTTTCGTGTCTGCCCTGACACTACTGAGGCACCAATTTGTCGGCGTGGCGTCGCAGCACGTTGTCCCTGAGCCGCTTCAGGGCGCCGCCGAACTCGGGCAGCTCCGCCTCGCCGAGCGCCTTCACGTCCGCCTCCCACCAGAACCGGCCCACGGCCGTGGCTCGCAGCACCTTGTCCGCGACGGCCTTCATCCGCTCTTCCTCCGCGTCCACGAGCTCCTTGGTCTCGTCCCTCCGCCGCGCGGTCGCCTCCGCCCCCTCGCGCCCGGCGACGGCGTCCTCCTCGAGCGCGGCGCGGCGGTAGGGGTCGCCGGCGGCGAGGCGGCTCATCACGTGGTCCACGGAGGGGGTGCCCATCGCGAACACGTTGCCGCCGCTGCGCCTGGTGGAGGAGGAGCCTCTGCCGCCCGGACGCGCCGCGGCGGCGACAGCAGCAGGGTTCGGGTTCGCGTCCTGTTTCTGGGAGAAGATGACGATGGCGACGTGCGCGCCGCAGAGCAGGTGCAGCTCCGACGCCTTCTTCAGCAGCCCGCCCTTGCGCTTCGAGAAGGTCACCTGCCGTTTCTCCTTGTCCTCGATGTATTCGATCTGGATGCGCTGCTTGCCCTTCGACGTCGCCTTCTTCCCAGCCGGTTTCACCATTGTTGCAAACGTTGCCGCTTCAACTTACTTTTGACGATGAGATGTAAGATTGATGTAAGATTATATGATTGTTGGATTACCTGGCTCATGAATCTTTTGTCCTTCCTATATAGTCCAAAGATAAAGTTATTGGTTGTATTTCGATTTCTACTCTTACTCTTTTACCGTAATAAAGATCCGAGTAGATTTGGAATTTAGGATAGATGTGATATCTCTATGGCTCCGGCCGCTCCGCTAGCAGCGGCTTCACGCGGAAGCGACGCGGACCAAGACACGGCGCCCAGACTTGTGTGGCCCGCCGGACCAGCGCACACAACCAATCCGTGGCCGGCACGTCAGCCCAACCCCTCCCTGTTGCCCCGGCCCGAAGAATCCTCTTCCCTCATATTCGAATCCGACCCGTTCTCTCCCCTTCTCTTCTTCTCCGACCCGATGGCGGCAGGCCTTCCTCCTCTCTTTGCTTTCCCCAAACAGGACGAAAAGAGAAGAGGACGCCTCCCTCGGTCCCTCCTGCTCCTCCGTCCTCTGCTCTGCTCCTCCTCCCTATTTAACCCGTCTCCATCGGCCATTGCCCGCTCTCCTCCCGAAGTCGCAGGGAGCCACACGCATTCCCCTGCCTCGCGCTTCCTTCGCTGTCATCACCCGGCCGGGCCCCACATCCCCGCCTATTTACCGACCGCGTCGCCCCCCGCCGCACGCCTTCCCACCCCCGCGCCTGCCTGCCTGCTCCCCGACGCCGGGGGCCCCCACGACGACCCGCCCCCGCGCGGTGACAGCAAGCCGGGACATGGCGCGCGGCGGCCTCGCCCACCTGCTCGCCACGCTCCTCCTCTTCGTCCTGCTCGCCACGTCTCTCGCCGTCGGAGCTTCCGAGGCAGAGGCGGACCTCACGCCGGCGGCGCTAGCGCAGGGCGTGTCCGAGGCGGCGGCGGCGGAGCCGGACGCGGATGCACAGCAGCACCTCCTGCCGCGGCCGCTCGTCATCGAGCTCCCGTCAGCGCGGGCCGCGGAGGAGCCCGACCCCGATGCCGACGTCGACGACGTGCCGACGGACGTGCGCTGCGCCAGCTGGCGGCTGGCGGCGGAGGCCAACAACCTCGCGCCGTGGAAGGCGGTGCCGCCGGAGTGCGCGCAGCACGTGCGGGGCTACGTCACCAGCGCCGCCTACCGCTCCGACCTCGAGCTCGTGGCGCGGGAGTCCGCCGCCTACGCGCGCGCGGCCTTGCCGCTCGGCGACGACGGACGCGACGCCTGGGTGTTCGACGTGGACGAGACGCTCCTCTCCAACCTCCCGTACTACGCCGAGCACGGCTACGGGTGAGCTCTCCCCTCTCCTCCGTCCGTGTCCGTCTCCACCTCACGCTCTCGCATCCCCATGTGACCACGTCCACAAAAAAAAAGGCAGAAATTTATTCACGAAATTCCACAGAAATTTGTTTGTTTGGTATCGATCACATTGCGCATTCAATGCCGCCTTTCGGTACGTCGTACCAAAAGGAGAAAAAAAAACTTTTCGAGCGAAACCGCAACGAATTAGTGGTAGGCATCAGCTGCTCCATCGGAATTTCAGAGTGGTCTCACATGGCGTGCTTGCGATTTTATTATTAATTTCAAAAATCCGCAGGGCCGAGTTGTTCGACCACCACAAGTTTGACGAGTGGGTGGAGAGGGGCGAGGCGGCTGCCATCCCTTCCAGCTTGAAGCTGTACAATGAGGTTCGCGAGCTGGGGTTCAAGACCTTCCTGCTCACGGGAAGAAGCGAGGGCCACCGAGGCGTCACGGTGGAGAACCTCAACAAGCAGGGGTTCCATGACTGGGAAAAGCTTATACTCAGGTATACCTCGCACATTAGCTTCAGCCGATTCCTACCATTCCATGCACGTACTTCAATCTTGTGCGCTATTATATATTTTTTATTCCTTTGTTAAATTGCCTTTTAGTTATTCACAATAATTGGTTTGATAAAAACAAGGATCTTGTGAATAATTTAGTTGCTCTCTAGTGTTCTCCATACCCTGTGGATCAGAGACATATTAGAATGCACTAGCATAATCATGTAGGCAGTTTAAGTTGTTATTATTCTGTTGCACTCAATTCTGATTAGGTGCTTCATCAGATCCAAATGTTTGATACCACTATGCTGTTGATGACCCTGTCCAGAAGTACATCTACTGCCATGAAATACCTACAGTTAGTTAAGACTTAAGAGTCAGAGAATCCTTTTGGTTCAATGCTGAACCTGACATCTTCTAAGCTCGGTCAAATTTGTCGCCTGCGCACTTTGTATGACCTAAGTAACTATTCTTCAACGTTCATTGTTTGTTCATGCTGGAACCCTGAGATGTGTCTTTCCCAATATACAGGGCAGCAGGTGACCGCAAGAAAACCGCGACAGTCTACAAATCAGAAAAGAGGAAAGAAATGGAAGAAGAGGGTTACAGGATCCTAGGCAACTCCGGCGACCAATGGAGCGACCTGCTGGGATCTTCCATGAGTGCTCGTTCTTTCAAGCTCCCTAATCCAATGTACTATATCCCATGACAGAAACTGAAAAACAGGGCGGGTGAAAAGTGCTGAGTTTATTGGATGCACATTCTACCAGGCCCAATTGGAGCATAGTGCTGACTGATGATGGAAAATGAAAATAATTTCGCAATGGAATTTAACTGTACAAATGCTTCACTGCTAACTTCGTGTAGTATATATTACCTGTAAGTTCAACTGTAACGATGACATGGGAGGAGACTTCTATGAATAATTGGTGGCTTCAGGGATATAGCCTTATAAGTTGAAAAGTACAGGGTCATAGTTTCTGCCTAATCATGCTACTGCCAGAAAGGGAGTTTAATGTTCCTTGATGCAACTCTCCTTAAACGAATTTACTGTAGTACGTATATTTTAAATTTACATGGTGCCTTAGAAAATTTTTATATGATTTGGTGGAAATCTAAAGTACATTAAGCTGACGAGCATCAGCAAGCGACAGTCTGTCAGAATGGAAGCACCGCGTCCACGAGTTGCAAGACATAGCGACGTGTTGTATCAGATGGATGCTACGAGGCATGCATGCATTACTGATGTATCATGAGTAGGCGGCTGACAAAACCGTATACTCGCCAAATACAACCACAGCAGTAGCACGCTAAGCAGTAACCATTAACTCAAAAGGCCAATCAATCAGATAAACAGGAATTTACTAAGGTGTGATAACAATATGTAAATACTCTGGTGTGACATAGTTCAGCAGGAATTGTTCCAATTCTTCGGTTGAAATCAAGAACAAGTCAGATACAGTGAAAAGTTCACAAAGGTAATGGAGGGCAATTTCACTGCACCATGGGATCAGGGTTCCCAGCAGCAAGAATATCAAGCAAAGAGTTATGGGGCTCCAGCTCGTCGTGCCACAGGGGTAGCTTGTCGCCAGGATAAAAGTTCCTCTTCACGCCATCGGCATTTATCTGCAGTGTAACCAAATTGAGTTTATTTTGAACTAAAAAAAGGTTTAAGCCAAGAGAACACAAGCATAGGAAATGGCAGTAAGAGATAAGTATAGGCAAAACACAAACACAGATTGCAGGTCACTGCATTCTTGCAGACTGAACATAATTTTTTTACAAGGTAAACCTCAAGAAAATGAAAACTGAGCAAAGAGAAAGAATTCACTGAGTGGATGTGGTAAGCAAGTGAATGAATAAAGTAACAGAAGAGTAAACGCCATGGAGTCTAGCAGCATTGAGATAAGGCGCATTCCAATTGATCTTGTACCTTTGTTCTAATTCATTTTGGTACAATCATTTTTTTAAACTACAATCCATTTTATTAATTGACAGAAAAATGTACAGCACCACACAAGAAGTTAAATGATCAAAAGTTACGATTTTCAGTTACAGCTGATTGAGTTTCACTCCGAAAGCTATCAAAAGCATCATGCTAGATATAAGTGCCAAAACCAACATAAGACAATCCATGACACCCAACTAGTTCAGGTGATTGCTACGTTTCAGTTTCTGGAGGGAACTGAGCATGAAAATTTGCACAAAAATAGAGAGAACTTACAGTAACTGTACGGACAACCCCTCCACTAGCACCATCACGGGCCATAGCAAGGGAAACTACCTTCACCACAAATTTCTGTATATATGAACAATAGAAACATATTAGGAACATTGAGGCTAGTTGTACTCTATTCGCTTTACACAATTAATAACCTTCAGTCATACTACTACACTAGAGAGTATCTCAATTCCATGATCTAAGTAAGAAGGAACTTGGCGACATACCTCTGCCTCTTCCTGGCTCATTCCCTCTTTCCATTCATGATCAAGAAGGGCATATAGGTAACTGGAACCTGAACCTGCAATTCAGAGATAACATAACAAGTGTCAGAAACAATATTTCTCAAGCAAAGCAAGTTTTTTTCATAACAAGATTTAGAGTATGAACACTCAGAGATCATGTACAACTCAAACAGTAAGTGATTTAATTACTAGATCACTAGCCATAGCACAAAAGGTATGTCACAGCAAAGAGAATAATGGAAGTAGCATTGAAATACCTCCAATTGCAAATGGTTGCTTCAAGATCGTTCCACCAAGAGGGACCGAGAAAATTTGGCCTCCCTCATACTTATCCCATCCTCCAATAATCATGCCAGCTTGCAACATGTTCTGGATATTAATAACAAACATTCATTTTGTAGTTCAACAAGAGTTTAACATCAAATTCCGACACCAGGTGCTTATCAATGAGGAAAGTAAAAGAATGTTTTAACAGTCTGCGCTGGAATGCTATGGAACATACCTTGTTCTGATAAGCTAGCAACCTAATCAAGTTGGCTGCAACTTTAACAGTAGCTGGTTGTCCAAGCTGGATTCTGCACAGAAGGGTAACTTTAGCATCAGCTACCTTGCATGTCAAATATCTCAAGTAATTGTATACTATCATATTTATCAAAGTTAAGTATCATTCAATATATTCATTTATCAAATGAGTGATTGATGTTAGGTTGTGTATGAAGAACAAACTTACGTGTGTTGGTGGAGGAAATAACGTACATAGTCCGAAATGACTTGTGTATCAGCAGCCTGTGATAAAATTAAAAAAGCAAGAGTTTTACATGTGAACTAAAAACTTGCAAAAAGGAATGTGCCATCTCTGGCACCATGCAAAGGAGGAATTACTTTCTATTAAGACAAAACAAGACAAGGCGGTATAAAAACAGCAATGAGAATAGCTACTAGCTCTTAATGTTGTTTGAATGGTTCAGATCAACAGTATATAAAAGCTGTCTACCATCAAGTAGTGTCCATTAATAACTTGTCAAAGGGACAAAATGAGAAGAAAGTTTCTACTCAAACATCCTAATACAACAATAACATTAGAAGACAACGACACTTACAGATCCAGAGCGACAGACATACACATTGTCTGTCAGTTGAGTAATCTTGTCTGAAGCACGGTTGGCTACATACATTCCTGAGTTGGAGCAGGAAACAAAAAAATATTAGCACTTGGCCAAATAAAATATAAAGAATATATTTGCTTAATAATGAAATCTATTTGGTGGAAACAGGAGCAAAATCATTTTTCTGGACTAGTACGAGTAAGACTCTTCACGAACTTAAGGAGGCATGTTTTGATCAAAAGGATTACATCCTTGAACCAAAGCAAGCACATAATCTCATCTGAGCCATCATACATTTAACATTTCCATAAGAACTATGATCACAGTTAACATGGCCAAAAAAAAAAACTGTAACAGTGGATGTTAGTTTTAGTTTAATCATATGCAATACAGTGCACAGCTCAGAGTTGGACTATCCTATAACTTTTTCTTCAGAAATAATGGCCGAAACTTATCCATCAGTGATATGAAGAATTAAACAGACTGCAGAGGAGAGCCAACTTTCCCTCAACATAGGCTGCTGCTAGTACCCAAATTCCTCTAATCTCGCAAGTCGCAACTAAGCGACTAGCAGCAAAACAATTAGACCAATTCGTCCAATCTCGCCAGTGTAAACTAATCATGAACCTAACAGTCAAAGCAGAAAGGCAGCACACATCACGGCCGCTGACATCGCCAGCCACGCCTCAATTCTGAACGATCCAAGCGAAAACCTAGGCCCGCAACGTTATCCCCACGCCAAATCTACCCGTACCCGCGGTAGGATCTCCTGCGGCATACACAGATCGATAGGAGCCCAAGGGCGTTACCAGTGCTAGTCCTGGAATCGGCGCCGAGGATGACGCCACCCTCGTAGCAGACCCCGACGATGGTGGTCCCCATCCGGTGCTCCCCGGTGGTCGGGGCCTCGCCGGCGGCGGAGGAGGAGCCCGTGTGCGAGGCGTCCATGGCGGGGACGGCGAGATCCGCGGCGGCAAAAACCCTAGTCGGCGAGGTGAGGCAGAGCGGAGCGGAGCGGTGGTGGTCTCGATTCAGGGGAGCGGCGTATCGTTTTGTTTCCTCGGCTTTGGCCTCCGTCGCAAGAAAGAAACTGAGGAGAGAAGGGGACGTGTTTGTTAGGTTCGGTGTTGTGCGGCAGTTGGGCCGGACATGTGTTAGTGTTCATTCAAGCTTGGGCCAACGTATTACTCGGTCTATGGGCTTATTTGTTTGGGCTTTTTTAAGCTTTCGGACTTCAGTTTTTCTGTATTGCCTCAACATTCGATTATGATTTTGGAGTTCAGCTTTTTATTTATTGCCTCAAGTTTTCGATTAAAAGTTATAATATCTGAACGCACGCACTAACTCACACTACACCGCTACACGCACACATCTTAACCCACTCACACCCCTAGTGTGTAAGACCTACAACCTATATCTAGGGATAAGAGAATACATCTAAAATATATGACATCGATGGCTTATCCTTGGGAGGCAACTGGAAATTATTACGAGGGAAAACCCCGATAGGAAATCACGAGTCGAGCAGTGCTCGAACTTGTGACCGGTGGCCTCCTCATTGGGAGAGCGCACCATCCAGCTCGGTCTCCTTTAGCTTTTGAACTTTCTAAAAGCCAAAGCCCAGAAGCTCACTGGCTTCTGGCTTACAAACATGGCCTATAGAGGATAGAAACTAAATGAAAAGGTGCTTTTTTTTGCTCTCAAGGTTTCCTACTTGAACTCTAAAACCGTCATCCCTTAATTAACTTTTAAAATCATTTAAATTAACACCCCATCCGGTTAGAAGTGGTTTCAGGGTGCTTTATCATTATTATTTTAAATAAGTTATAAACACCTGATAAGGATTTTAAACAATGAAAAGTACCTTTAAGCTTTTAAAAAATTATGAGAAACATCTAGAGATAAATTGGGACATAATAAATCAAGAACAATATTCATTTATGTCAAGTATGTAGTATTTCTGTGTGCACATTCATTCTGGGGCACACGTTAAAAAAGCGCATAACTGTTGACAAGTACAAGTTTGTGTGGACGGAGTAAAAGTTAGGGTGTGTTGGAACGGTAGGAACGAGAAACATAGGAATAATGATAGAAAACGTATGAACATGAAAGGAACGAGGATGCAAAACAGAAGAAA